GTCTAGCTTTTCATTACGATTTAAGGTCCACTGACTAAATTGAAAGCAGAAGAACTCCCTTTCTTTGGAGTTGGACGAAATCATTCACCGACGAAACTCTCTGCTTATACAGTACAGTGTGAGCTGTTATTGTGCCAAATAAGGTGTCACTGACCTATGACCTCTCCGCCTATGGAAATGTTAGCACCGAGGTGTGGACAATAAGCGTCGATGATGTAGACATGTTTGTCCTGCCCTCGGTACACGGCTAACTCGGTACCCAGCAACGAGTATCCTTTCACCTCACCTGTCTGCATGTACATAACACACAGCACAATACAACAAAGAAACAACGATTTCTGTAGAGAAACATCGCAGCTCTCCGGTAATCTCCCAGGAAATATGAAAATGCCACATATTACACCATTGACAGGTGTGCTGTGGTATGACTGCCATGTTGTTGAATAAGAGGTGATGGGAGCTGATACAGTATGTCAGCACCTTTAGAGCCATGCCCCGGTTATACTCGAACAACCGCTGCTTTCCTAGCTATTTTAGATGCCAACGAAAGCAAAGCACCTCATCAGAAATTTAGAATCATTATTTTCTTGTCCATAACACTCAAGAGTAGTACAAATTTCGGGCTCTTCAACTTCTTGTCCATACTACAATGTATAAAGTTATTTTTGGCCATGCCAACTGTAGCGTTTTCAGCTTGAGCAACATACCACAGACCGAGGCCGACCGCATTCTCTTCGTTCTCATCCCCTGGGAGTCTCCTGTATGGAGATAGAGCATTGCCGTTGTTGCGTACAGTTGTCTATGAAGCTTGGCATGCACTTGCTCAAGGGATTGGTCGACAGCAGGGAGCCTGCCCGGTCGACAGTGCATGTGATTCCCATTCCAGACAAGGACTCATTTCTAGAAAGTACTAGTAGTTGGAACTGCTCAGTGGGTAGGAAACCGAGCAAGTACTCCGCACAGACGTAGCCCAAAGTCGCTCGTTGTGGTTCAGTAAAGCATGCTGAGAATGTCTCAAGAACACCAAACGCGAGCTCCGACAACGTTCTGTTGAAAGTCTTGCCGTTAGTTATGTTCGCGCACAGCATGATGTACTGACTGACTTGTGGAAAATGATTTCCTGACAGCGACTCCGAGCGCGAGCCATATCCGCTTCCCTGCTTCTGGGGACTTTCCCACGTGAAACCCACAAGTCTTGCAGTACAATCATGTTTTCTGTGATCGTCTCGTAGTTTCCTGACTGTGCATCATTATCACTTCTGTACTGTAGGTAGCTACCGCTGTTATTGTTATTGATTTTTTTAGGACATGGGATGCACCTCTGGCCTTAATCCACGTCCAATGAGCACAAACAGGTGGCTGCTCTCAAAGGACGATGATACATTTGATACATTTACACAACTTCACAAGGCTCACCAACATACTCACAAACAGTGCCTCGAAAGAGGTGGTTACACCACAGTTCACTGTCGTCAGCTTACCTTCACATCCTTTGAGTCGCACACTCGAAACCAGCCGTTGGGAAACACAGGTGGTAGCTCCTTCTTATCTCTCAGATTGGCTGAACTCCAACGACTGGTAGCGCCAGAACCGTCTTTCTTCTCCGACGATATCTTCCTTCGAAACATAAACCAGATGACGCCCAGTAACAATCCACCGAGCGGAACCAGCAGTATCGGACACGTCATGACGGCTCTCTTCAGACACCCAGCGCCATCATTTGTGCAGGTTCTGGTTGCATGACTTGTGCACGTAGCGTCCTGTGCTGCGGTCATGCACTGTGTCGATATCTGTGAGAGTATTCCGACTATTCGACTTGCCACGTCCTGAAGCATAGTAACAGCGAAGTACCCCACCAGGCCGGTCACAAACCCGTAGAGAATATGCTGAGTGAGATGACTAGAGACCCTAGCAACGCAGCCACAGAGCCGTCGAACACACAACCGTGCACGCTCTCTACCTCCCGAAATAGCAGTAAGATGCATGCTTGACTCGTGGCAATACAATCCAATCCAGCATTTGCCAGTTCTGAGAACTCTACAGCACCGAACGTTGTCTACGGACGAGCATATCAGTAACATGTGCTGGCTGAGTCCACTAACGTACTTGTGTAACTTGCGAGCATTGCTGTACGGAATATGAATATCTTGTCATTTATCCCACTGGAGGTGTGGTGGAGATGTGACTCCAGAGGCGACAACGAAATCATACCAGTCGAAACGCTGCCTAAGTTTACTGGTGCCACTATAGCTCAGTGTTGACAGCGCTAGAAACTCAGTCACTGCTTGCTACCTAAAGTCCTTGCCGCCTATGATCATGATGATGGTGTCTTGGTGACTAGTATCACATTGCTATGTGTGAGTACAGCACAAGCATCCAGCATGCATCTTGCATCAGGTGCCGTGGCGAAAGTAGATTGTCACTCGTCGCTAGCATACGGATTCGTGCGAATAAAGCACTCTGGTCCGTCTGGAGCTTGTCCAAGCCCGACCAGACTACCAACCACCCAGGGATCGAGGGACCAGACACCCCACTGACCGGGGAGGGACCGGACACCCCACTGACCAGGGATTGAGGGACCAGACGCCCCACTGCCCAGGGCGGGACCACACACCTCCACTGCCCAGGGAGGTACCAGGCACCCAATGCCTAGGGAGGGACCAGGCAACTCACTCTCCAGGATATCTGACCAGACATCCCACTGCCCAGGGAGGGACCCCCACTGGCCTGTCCCCGGGGAAAATTGCGGAAAAAATCGCAAAAAACGCGGGGAAAACGCGGCATAATTATGGCATAATTTGCGGTGAATTTGCGGTAAATATGCGGTGAATAATATTGATGTGCGGCAATTTTCAGTGAGTATGTAGTGAAATCAATCAGTTACAAGTCTCTGGTGTAAGCACTCGTCATATTTGAGTAAAAAGCCGCCACGATGAGACGTTGCTGACCGAACAGTGCACTGTGTGTACGTGTAGTGCAACAAAAAAGTTCAAAAACGCGGGAAAATCGCGGAAAACGCGGTCTTTCAAAAAATCACGAAAAACCCGGCAAAAACGCGGCCGCGGAATCGCAATTTTCCCCGGGGACAGACTGGCCAGGGAATTGGAGCAGACACATCACTGACTCTAGGATACCACCCAACCCTACCTCTCACTACCAATGGATACTGTAAATTGACTAATCTTCTTCTCAACGTAGACGTGTACCATTGTGTACTGATGTTCGCCATTTTCGTGAGAAGAACACCCGTATACACACATTAAAGGGGAAGTCCGGTGAAAAATTTAAATTTCACAGTCCGTAGAGTTCGGGTCGCTGAGTCGAATGGTCTTTGTCCGATGAGGCTGCGGCTTATGGTTCGTCAGATACGCCCAATCGAACATGTGCGAATTTGAGCGCGCATCACCCAGATCCAGGTGATGACGTCACAGCGTGCAGCCAGGTAGCCACACCATCTAGTTGTGTACAAAAATGGCCATATTCGGAGCGCGTTCGATTGGGGAACCGTTTGTCGCAGCTTCTTCGGACCAAGACCATTCGATTCAGTGTTACAAACACTACGTACCCTGTGATTTTCAGCTCGGTAACCCTGGAGGTTATACCGTATTAATAGTAGTATTATAGCCGTTTCCGAGTTGGACTTTTCCGTCAGCCTCTACCGTCTACGCGCTCTGCGCTGCGTGCATGCAGTGCGTGCAGTGTGTTATCTAGCTGTAGTGCAGTCAACAAACTCATCACAGACGGAACTACTCCCGCACTGCCGTGCTGGGGTAGTATGTACAAGACTCGAGTCACAACTGACACAAGACTCAGAAAACTAGTCAACACACGGACTTGTCATGTACTACACTCGTATCAGTCGTATTGTTCAGTCATGTAGTCAGAGAACGTGCGTTTCTCCTTGCCGGTGCCGGTGGTTGTGCTTTGAGAAAGAAAATTTTAGTTTTCCGCACCCGCCTCATTATTTTATGTTACAGCGATGAGTGCACAACCGTGACAAGTGACAAAACAGCGAACAGCTCCCGGACCTAGAACTTTCAGATTCCATAGCGTTGCGAGCGAAGAGTCGTGCCCGTGGTTCAAAGAGCCTGCACTGTTCTCCAATTGAGTAGTCCGAAATATTCCAAGTTCGCACCAAAACATCACCATGTGGCAGGCTACTGGAGTCTAAGCGAATCTAATCGGTATGGAACAACATTTAGAGCACTCGCATCACTCTTCTCCATTTTGGCGACCCTGCTCTCCAGCGATCTGATCAGCCTCGTCTGCAATAGCTGCTGCTTCTTCATCAGTCGGAAACTCAGTAGCGCTCACTCTTGACCGGCCCGCGTGGCCATTTCTTCAGCTGCCGAGGTTCTCAGCCCCAGACCGAACTCATGAAGGTCAGCCATGGCTGCATCCTCACTCTCACAAGGAGTTACAGGTCTTCGGGGTCGCTTGCACCAAACTATCAGTCGCCAAATCATTTGAAATAGCACTGACACTATTGCTTTCACGCACTCCTTTTGACCTAGCTGCACGCTATGACGTTGCAGAGGGTGTGGCGCGGCCGCATGACGTCATGGCGCAGCCCCGAAACTCAGTTTTTCAAACGGAAATATCTCGAGAACGCTTTGTCGGAGACACGTGGGACCAACACCATTCGACTCAGCGGCCGAAACTCTACCGACCCTGAAATTTAAATTTTTCACCGGACTTCCCCTTTAAACCAACGTGAAGTGTGTGGGCAGGCGTGTGTTTACCGCCATATTGCCGGGTGTGTCTTTACCACCATATTTTATCAACGTGAAGTCAAGCTAGAAATAATTAGTCTCGTCAGTGCCAGTGTGTGTGCATGATGGTACATGTATTTTGTGGGGCCAGTTTTCGGCCGACATTTGCCATCGTAAACTCGCCCGTTGTGAGAAATCGTGAAAAATTGGCGACGTACTTGGTATTAGCTTTGGGTAGCTTACGGCAAGTCAGTACAAAAAAATGCAGGCATTAGAGAGGTTAAGATGCACGTTACTTCCGACATGACGCGCAATTTCATGTCAAATTTGGCATAAAACTCCAAATTTCGACGCGAGCTGCAGGTCACTCACGTTGTTTTTCGGCATGCGAGCCAAATAACGCGAGCTGAACTTTCGCTTCACGTCAGAAATAACATGCATCTTAAAATGAAGCAAAGACGTGAAAGAGCGACTCCAGTCCAGTGTTGAACTACATGTGCAACACAGACACAAACAGAGTACAACTCACTCAATGCACAAAATGTGCAGAGCAGTTCACAAACCTTACATACTGTAAGACCTGAATGACCCTGGGTAAGGAGACCACCTGGTAACAGAGACCACGCTTTGAAGGTCCCTTGAGGGGTCGTCTTAGCCAGGTTTCACTGTAATAGCACAGCTAGTTGAAGTACGAGTGAACTGAAGCCATGCAGCCTGAAGCTAAACAGCATCAAGCCCGACACAGCATCAAGTCATACAGCAGAAAAAAATATTCGGATGAATTCCAGTAACTTCTGTAAAGGCTCAAAAAGGAGTGTGCCCCTGCACTGCAAGGATAAGCAATTGATCATGCAGTGCAAGCATTTAGTGCCGATCTTAGGAAGAGATAATGAGCGGGCCGGGCCGCTTGCAGTAATAATGAGATTAGCATAGAGCTTGACAAGATGATAACGTTAGACGGTAAGCCCTGAGAGGAATAGCAGGCATTCACATTTGGCGAGGGTGTCCAAGACCTGGTACAAGGCGAAGGCAAGATATTTCTATGATATCACGAAGACGACAAAGAAGAGGAATCCGCAGCCAGCACACAGGTAGCAATTGCATGTTATCACGACATTCCAAGGCAGTTGCAACAAGCAATCAAACCAGCCAGAAATCTGGCAGCGCTAACATCAAACGAGAAGGAGATATTGTAAGGAGCAACGAGCAAGCCGAGCATCAGACACTGCTGCAAACACACTAGACTCATGACAGTCACCGCAAGGCAGGGTAGGGGTAGGGCAGGGGTAGGGGCAGGGCAGGGGCAGGGATAGGGGCAGGGTAGGGGTAGGGGCAGGGCAGGGGTAGGGCAGGGGTAGGGGTACCTACAGCTACAGCTTACACCAAACAAGCGTTCTTACACGTGCGCACAAACAAACGCAAACAGACAACAGAGAAGGAGAAGGATTATACTAAGCTACACAAGTACTGCACACATGTTGTAATCACGACTCCAGCATGCTGGCTGAGCCGTTGCAGGCAATTGAGACATACATGTTGGAATTTGCTTCGGCTAGCTAACGGGTGGATGTTGGGTAAAGCGGTTGACATCATTGAACATGCACACACACACACACACACACACACACACACACACACACACACACACACACACACACACACACACACACATACACACACACACACACACACGCATACATCACCAGTCCAGACTGGTTCTGGCTGCCGTGTAGCGAGGACTGTTCTCGGAGTAGAACTGGCTGTACCAGCGGCGATGCTTGCCAATCAGCTCATCCTCCTTGACCAGCATTGGCTTAGAGACGTAGCGCTTGTTGTTCCAAATCATCAGATCACGCTCCACCTGAACCAACCATGCACATACACACACACACACACACACACACACACACACACAAGCACACACTCACGCACACACACACACACACACACACACACACACACACACACACACACACACACACACAAGCACACACGCACGCACGCACACACACACACACACACACACACACACACACACACACACACACACACACACACATACACACACAAGCACGCACGCACACACACACGGCCCCACATGGAACGGAGAGATGTCAGGTTGTGTGTCAGTTTTAAAATGCCCAATAATTGTCTCTCTTTCTGGCCGTTCACTATCAGGTTCACTATCAGGTTCACTATCAGGTTCACTATCAGGTTCACTATCAGGTTCACTATCAGGTTCACTATCAGGTTCACTATCAGGTTCACTATCAGGTTCACTATCAGGTTCACTATCAGGTTCACTATCAGGTTCACTATCAGGTTCACTATCAGGTTCACTATCAGGTTCACTATCAGGTTCACTATCAGGTTCAATTGGTGAAATGGTACTTTTGACTCGTACTCAATGGTTCTTTCTCTTTTTCTGACATGGTGGTTCAACATCGGAGTTTCCTACTGCATAAGCACATATTTTCGGAAGAGTGCAATTTTAGTGCCTTGGGTAGCCTTTCATAGCTGCCAAGTAATCTTCACGCGTACCTACAGTTCGAGATAGAGGTAACACTATCGGCGATAGTAGAGAAAGTGTGTTACTTGCTACATGATAGCCCGACTTGACTTGATTATGATACTCGACTGACTCACGCTTGCCGTCCAGAGCACAGGAGAAGTTCATCCGACCTTCGACCGGCAAGCCCGCTAGTCATCAGAACTACCTGCCATTAGCCTACTCAAGTTCAACTAGTGAGGGGGGGGGGGGGGGAATTCCCCGAAAACACTGTGCATTGAGCAGGGAGTGGCGCTTTCCTGCAGGTTTGCCGAGTGGAAGGTTCGATGGACTTCTCGTGTGCTCATGATGGCAGTCGTGAGTCAGTCCAGTCAAGAAGACGGGAAATGCTCGAGCTCCGGCTAAGATTTCACTATCCTTCATGGCAGGTAGTACTAATTGTTCATTATAGGATTGAAAAGGGTGGCCTCAATTTTCCGCTGGGATCTGATAATTCCTAGTGTAGATTTTAAAATGTACAGAATTTTGGCACCCAGCAAACCCATTGAATGCCGCGACCCGTTACACTAAACCAACCAATACTTAGAACCTTTTGAAAGGAAAGGCGGTAACAGGTTTTAAGGACCAGTACTATGTAGAGGTACTATTTGTAAACGCGAGTCGTCAGGGAGTGGTGAGGGCAGGGTGGGGGCAGGGTGGGGGCAGGGTGAGGGCAGGGTGGGAGCAGGGTGGGGGCAGGGTGGGGGGGGCTATACTTAGTCCCCCTAGCGCCCCCCCCCCCCCCTGAAAAAAGGCAGGTCATTTACTTGCTCATTTCTGTATCCAATCGGACCACTTCATCAGGATTATTTTCTCCGAACCAATGGTTTCCTGTTCGATCTAGTGCCAGATTCCAAACACCCACACCCACACACGCGCACACACGCGCGCGTGCGCGCACACACACACACACACGCGCACACCGTATGCACACCAGGTAACACATCAAGTACCAATGGGATCTAACTGAGAGCACGGCTTCATGATCAGCCCCCCCCCCCCCCCCCCCCTCGATCCCCACCGATGACACTGCTGCTTCCATGTAGAGAGTCTGTGTTTAGAGTGAAGTACAGTGTGTTCCTGTCACACTGATGCCATGCTGAATAGCCCTGGTGAAGCGTGACAACTGAAGAGGAAAGCGCACTTTATCACGCAGCCGTGTGGATGCTGTACTGCAGGCTGGGACACATGATATCCTCAGTCCAGCTACATCACCCCAATCTGTGCCAGATCAAGTATTTTAGAACAATACTTGGGATGCAGTTTTTCTCTGTCTGCTTCTCAGAGCAATGTTGTCCGGTTCTTTCATAAGGTATTTGTCCATGTGGCTGGAGTGGAGACTGCAGGCTGGGACACACGGTATCCTCAGCCCAACTGCATCACCCGAACTTATGTCAAATCAAGTATGTTAGAACAATACTTGGGATGCAGTTTTTCTCTGTCTGCTTCTCAGAGCAATGTTGTCCGGTTCTTTCATAAGGTATTTGTCCATGTGGCTGGAGTGGAGACTGCAGGCTGGGACACACGGTATCCTCAGCCCAACTGCATCACCCGAACTTATGTCAAATCAAGTATGTTAGAACAATACTTGGGATGCAGTTTTCCTCTGTCTGCTTCTCAGAGCAATGCTGTCCGGTTCTTTCATAAGGTATTTATCCATGTGGCTGGAGTGGAGACTGCAGGCTGGGACACATGGTATCCTCAGCCCAGCTACACCACCCCAATCTCTGCCAGATCAAGTATGTAAGCACAATACTTGGGATGCATTTTTTCCTCTGACAGTAGCTCAGAGTAATGCTGGTTGCTTCTTTCATAACTTTTTTGTTCATGTGGATGCTGCACAGCAGATTGCAGGCTGGGACACATGGTATCCTCAGCCCAACTGCATCACCCGAACTTATGTCAAATCAAGTATGTTAGAACAATACTTGGGATGCAGTTTTCCTCTGTCTGCTTCTCAGAGCAATGCTGTCCGGTTCTTTCATAAGGTATATGTCCATGTGGCTGGAGTAGAGACTGCAGGCTGGGACACATGGTATCCTCAGCCCAGCTACACCACCCCAATCTCTGCCAGATCAAGTATGTAAGCACAATACTTGGGATGCATTTTTTCCTCTGACAGTAGCTCAGAGTAATGCTGGTTGCTTCTTTCATAACTTTTTTGTTCATGTGGATGCTGCACAGCAGATTGCAGGCTGGGACACATGGTATCCTCAGCCAGACTGCATCACCCGAATCTATGCCAGATCAAGTATGTTAGAACAATACCTGGGATGCCGTTTTCCTCTGTCTGCTTCTCAGAGTAATGCTGTCTGCTTCTTTGATAAGTTATTTCCCATGTGGCTGGAGCGGAGACTGCAGGCTGGGACACACAGTATCCTCAGCCCAACTGCATCACCCCAATCTGTGTCAGATCAAGTATGTTAGAACAATACTTGGGATGCAGTTTTCCTCTATCTGCTTCTCAGAGCAATGCTGTCTGCATCTTTATAAGATCTTTGTTCATGTGGCTGCTGTACTGCAGATAGCAGGCTGGGAAACACGGTATCCTCAGCCCGAATGCATCACCCGAATTTCTGCAAGATCAAGTGTGCAGAGCCATGCTTATCCTGACTACCCTAGTCGGCACATCAGCTGTCTGCATCTTTCACAAGTTATCATCAGAAAGGAAAAAGAATTCCAGAGGCAGACGAGACCGGAAGAATGCACCAAGCTTGTGGCCCCACGCTAGTGAAAGAGAAGAGCAAAGAAAGAAGAAAGACGCCATGTCATGGCGGAGGAGCCCGGTAGGATAAAGAGGCAGCGCAGCAGGCGCATACTCCATCGATCTCACTGGTGTGCTTGCTTGCCACAGCAGAAAGGAATGGGTGACCTGCTGCTAAGGTGAGTGCAAGCCTGGTCGAGTTTACCAACAACTTTTGCACTTTCAAAGATAGTTCGTCATAGTATTTCCTTGCCCACACGATACAAAGGAAAGTCCCGAACCCTATGCTGGAGTTGCAGTATTGCTCCGCTAAGCCTCCGCAGTCAGCGATGCTCTGCTATGCCTCTGCACGTTACACGCCATGAACTCCACTCGATGGTGACAGCACAGTGAATCTCAGTCACTAGTGACAGCACAATGAACCCCAGTTACCGCTGACCATCCCCTGATCCCTTTCACTCGTCACATCCACTGGTCTTTTCCTCTCGTCCCTTTCCTTCGTCCCATCCTCTCATTGCTTTCCCTCATCCCATCCCCTCGTCCCTTCCCCTCGTCCGTTTCCCTCCGCCCATCCCCTCGTCCCATCCTCTTGCCACTGCCCCTTGTCCCTTCCCCTCGTCCCTTTCCCTTGTCCCATTCCCTTGTCCCTTCCCCTCATCCCTTTCCTTCCGCCCATCCCCTTGTAATTCCTCTCGTCCCTTTCCCTCGTCCCATCCCCTCGCCGCATCTCCTCGTTCCTTCCCCTCGTCCCTTTCCCTCGTCCTATCCCCTCGTTTCTTCCCCTTGTCCTTTTCCCTTGTCCCTTCCCCTCGTCGCATCCCCTCATGCCATCCCCTCATCCCTTCCCCTCGTTGCATCCCCTCGTCGCATCCCCTCATCCCATCCCCTTGTCATTCCCCTCGTCCCTTTTCCTCGTCCCACCCCTCGTTCCTTCCCCTCGTCCCATCCCCTTGCCCCTTCCCCTCCTCCCATCCTCTCGTGCCATCCCCTCGTCCTATCACCTCGCACAGTAAATCCTAGTCGCTGATGGCATCAGACCAGCAGTACAGTCATGACCTCACCTGATGATATTCACCCCACAGGAACAGTTTGCCGATGAACGATGGCATCCAAGGCGAGCCCCATACCTGCCAGGTGTCGAGAGCAAAAATGCCACGTGCATGCACAGACATTCAAACACACGCATACAAACACACACACACAACACACAGACAAAGAGTTCCATAACACACCCTGCAGCATTGCACAATGAGCTGAAAATGATATGTTGGATATAGCTACAGCAGCATGAGAATCTGTGTCAACGAAGGCCTGCGTACGTGTGTGTGTGTGTATGTGTGTGTGTGTGTGTGTGTGTGTGTGTGTGTGTGTGTGTGTTTGGGTGTGTGTTCACGACTGTGGCATAGGTGATATCATCAGGGAGTGTGGAATAGTTGGAAAGCTTGGCTCATTTGAAACATGTTTAGAATGGGGATTCCAATCATTCTAGAGTCTACCTGGTGAGTCATCTTGAGTAGCAGTGGCTCAACAGGTGATAACTCCTGCAGCAGTACACCTTTGCCGAATATGCAATGGTCAAAGTGCAGGTGCACTATGGATGGACCAATCTGATGAGCAGGTGTGACAAGCACACATAAAATACATGCACACACGTGTACGTACATACACACACACACACACACACACACACACACACACACACACACACACACACACACACACACACATGTACACACACACACACACACGCACGCACGCACGCACACACACACACACATACACACACACACACACACACACACACACACACACACACACACACACACACATGCACACACATGCACACACACACACACACACACACACACATTCCATCAATGCCACGTAAGAGAACCCTGCCCAGCTGCAGTGCAGAGAGTACAATGAGCAGGCAGACAAAACAATCCAAGAGATTTACAAATGCATCATAAACCTGGTGCCGTCAAGGTGTGACAAAATTTTGCCTATTCGCGACCACGACAATCAAAAAGCCAACAATATCGGTTGTAAACGGAAGGACAGAAGACGGTGCAGCAGCATGTACAACGGGGTGACAAAAAGGATGTGGAGCAAAAGACGGTGCAGCAGCATGTACAACAAAATGACATAAACGCAGCAGCATGTACAACTCTGTAATCGAATGGAAGTCTCCACACGCCACGTCAAACGCACGCAGGAGACAAAATGATTGCGGTACCTGACGAGCTTCCACGTCGATAGTGGTGCCCGGCACCCTGAAGCCAAACACGGTGAGATAGTGAGAGAGATTCAGCACACCGATGTGTGCCTCGGGCGCCGGTAGAGCACTCCACTCTGCCGACCAGCCGTGACGTAGCGCACTGGTCACGCTGGGCTTGTTTGTGTAGCGCAGATCAACGCCCTGGATCAGGAATGGGCCGTGAAGGTGACTCAGATGGGCCACGTCGGCAGCATTCTCCGGTACCTCCTACAGGACATAAACACACATACACACACAGGCATACACACACACACACAGGCATACACACACACACAGGCATACACACACACACACACACACACACAGGTATACACACACGCACACACACAATCACACACAAATATACCGACACTTACACACATACACACACCTTTGCAGACACATGCACAAATACATGCCTTCTGCTTTGGCCAGACAGGTTTCTGCTTCAATATTTTCAGAAAGGAAAATCCTCCTCACACCATTGTTTTCAGCTCCCAATTTAGAATGGGATTCAAGACTTGACAGTCACCCACAAGTGGCAGTGGTCCTTTTTTGCGGGTTGGTCGAGTGGACAGTCCGGCATTGTTCTCCTGTGCTTCAGACGGCAATAATGAGTCAGTAACTTGGCAGGAAGTGTGAGTGCCAGCGGTAGGGGCAGACACCTTCCTCAACAAATACCGCGCCAAAGTTGCGATTTACTTCATCCTCCAGCCGTCACCACCATGCGCTCTTAGCCGAACCAAGGCACAAAGCATAAACACACCAGTAGCACCAGTAGCAGAGGCAGCACCAGTAGCAGCAGTTTATACTTCATTCACTGGTTCGGCGAAACGGGCACGGTGGTGACGTGTGGAGGATGCAGTAATGTGGAGTATGGCCAAAAGCTCTGTCGCAATATCTTATTGTGAAGTTGTAATTCTCCAGTAATAATATGATACCTGTGTACCTAATATGTAATAGCATCATTGAACACAACCAGTCCGACAAGGGGATTCCCCCAACCTACCTGAATGTGTGCGTTGATCATATGCTCGCTGAAACCATGGCATCTCCACGAGCCATCCACAATTCCTTCAATCTCCTCCGGCAGGTAATCAGGTTCACATTTCTCTGCATGGTGCCAGATATAGATGAGCTTGTTTACCTGTTTAGAGCACATGTGGGCACATGCACACCCCCCCCCCCCCCCCACACACACACATGCGTATGTACGTAGATGGACGCACGCACGCGCACACACACAGACAAACAGACACACACACACACACACACACACACACACACACACAGACAAACAGACACACACACACACACACACACACACACACACACACACAGACAAACAGACACACACACACACATACACACTGTAAATATAATGGATGACGAAGATCAGGAATTAAGTATAGCATGAACAATTGCGGTTGAACACTCTGAAATAGGACAATGTCTAAATGGTGGATAGAAAAATAAGCAAACGGTGAGAGCAAAAAACAATACCAAAAAGGATCGATACGCAAAGAAACAGGCAGCAGAATTATCAAGAGTAGATCTACTCCGGTGAATAGCATTCCGACTATGAAGCCCAGCAGTCTTGAGACATTATTATCACTAATCCATGGATCTTGGCGGAGCGGAACCCTTCCAAGGGCTACGCTCCGCTACAAAGTACAATCAATGCATTAATTCCGCTGTGTGTAACTTATTCCGTAGAAGTTGAGGGTGTCTGATTCATTCTGAGTCTGACATAGGATTTGGTTAGCAAACGGAGCTAGGGAACATCACAAGAACACTAGCACAAAGATCTGGACTTGCTGGGCAGTGACAGGCATTGCATGGCATGGCATGGCTGTATGCGTATGCCAGACCTACCTCCAGTATGGTCCATGGTTTGATTTTTGCAATCTCCGGCACTTTCTTGGCGTACGGTATTCGCACACACTTGCCGTCATCACCGCGAAACGTCCAGCCATGAAACGGACACTCTATGCAATTGTCTGCAAGAAGAGGATAGCCAACAGCAGCACACACAAGCACAGTCCAACCTTAGGCGATGTATGCTCTCCTACACTGGCCATATTTCATTTATTTATCTAATAAAGTGCATTTTCAATGAGATGCAAAGCTGAGTGGCAAGCCAGATAGACTGTACGCCACAAGACACCGGTCAGAGATGATATACACTGCGCAAGCGGAAACAAAGCCTTGTGGTAGCACTGACAGGCGGTTTCAACCAACAACAGCCGTGATACGATGTACGTGATCAACTTACCGATGACCCTTCCCCCAATGCCCAGATTGGCACCCAGGTGAGGGCAGTAAGCTTCCACTGCGTACACGGTGCCATTCTCTCCGCGGAACACGGCTATGCTCTCTCCAAGCAAAGTGAACGTTTTCACTTCGCCAATCTAAGCAGCAAGCGGGGTGGGGACAATAGAACATACGCACACCAAAATGCACATGCACACACACACACACACACACACGTAAAAAACAAAAAAATGCATGCACACACACATACACACACATATAATATTGTTGCTTTTCTTTCGTCCCCCCCCCCCCCCCCCCTTGATTACCTCTGCTGGGCCTTGTTCGGCTCTCTCTCTCTCTCCCTCTCTCTCTCTCTCTCTCTCTCTTTCTCTCTCTCTCTCTCTCTCCCCCCCCCCCCCTTCTCAGTACAATGTTTGCAGCACTGCCTGCATGACACTCATCTGCCCTGGTGTGCGATACGTTTATCATGAATTCACACATTCTCAAACTAAGAGCTAACTTCAAAGTGTAAAAAAAAGAGAAGAAAAAACATGAGAACGAGTTATGCAGCAACTATCCACGACTGTAACAAGTTGATAAAGAGTCAGAACGTGCGATAACAGGGCACAAAGGGCTGTTGGTTTGCGCACTGGAGATGTGTTTGAGCTAGGTCTCAGGTCGCTGCATGTCTCAGTTGTCTGTTTATCATCTTGTTACAGCCGTGGATAGTTGCTGCATAACTCGTTCTCATGTGTTTCTTCTCTTTTTTACATTTTATTAATGGCTCAGTACCCGGGTTAAAATAACGTCAAAGTCTTATTGAATACCTTTTGCAAACGGCCGACCATTGAGTGTGTGTTCATGAAATATAACTGGCCTGGTGGAACCTATATTTTTGCAAAAAGGATCCATTTTTCCATTGGTTGGAGGGAAAGATGCAAACAGGAAAGGTCTGAAGAATAGCTTGACTATCACCACCAGGACTCGATCCATTAATTTTAGCAATAGAAATTTTTTATTTGTATTTCAGTGCATATTTTGAGAACGATTGCATCTGACTTGAATTTGTCTGTGGATAATGCAGTCCACCAGCTTCTAGGTGACAATCATTCTCACTCTACAAGTAAGAAACTATACCTGTATTTGAAATCGGTTATGCTCACAAGCAATCATGGAGGGAACTCTCAGCCTTAGCTGGTTTTGCTCGCGGCTGCAACGCACGGGGTAGTGAACCCAGGACAGAAGCGGACCAGGCATCATGACTTTGCACATCTATCGTTATGCTGCTTCATTACGCGACCTGTTTTATTATTATTATTTATTATCATACTCACTGCAAGATCTCCAGAGTCGCAAATCCTGAACCAGCCGTTAGGATAGACGGGCGGTAGATCACCCCGCTGCCTCCTCCTCGCTACATCGGCAGCCGTGTCTTTTAGCGTACTCTCGTCCTGGTCCGGTACGTATCCTCTATCCTCGAGACGTCTCACCACACGCAGTGGCTTTACAAGCAACTTGTACAATTCGTAGGCCACCAGCACGGCGGCCAGCACCCAGAAAGTCCGTTTCTGTAGTGCCTCACGGCGAAAAAATTGCCACGTGTCCTGAATGAACGCTGAATCAACGAGCTGAATGCCGACGAAGCTGGGCAGGGGCAGTTCCCGGAGATTGTCGGCAAGTGTTTCTTGCAGGGTGTCGTCGGCCAGTGCCAGAACGATCAGTCCTACCGCCGCTAGGACTGTAAGGGTGGCCATAGCGGCTAAGCCTCCCGCTGCTGTTGCTCCTTGACCCTATATTACTTATTAGTAATATTGTATGAGGACTATGGACTGACTTAGTCTTCAGGGAAAGGAGATGTTGATTGAGCGCCGCAACGCGGGATTCCGAACAAACAAAATCAATCGATTGAATCGATTGATTGGTTCCGGACAATTTTTTCGAAACAAGGAAATCGATAACCTGCACTCAGTAGTGATAATCTTCACAGCAGGCGATGCGAGGCCGCGAGGGCATACAGCACCGTCAGACAATCCGTGCGAGGCTGAGGTTGTATACCATGGTATACCATGGCATGAAGGACTTGGTAGCGAACACACACTGGATCTTGACCATATGGAGAAGAAATACTGGAGCCACTAACAACAGACAGACATGCGTCACACAAGGACAGCACAGAGTCAAAAGGGAGATAAAGGTCACACATTCGCAGGTCACGATTGCGAAACGCGGAGCGCCTCTTTTGTAATGGGATGCCGAATCACTGGATTACCCACTGCCCAGCCTCCTCGTGGATCTACAGTCAGTAGACTATACCACACTCCACAGTCTAGTACTAGTAGTAGTAGATCTACCCGGTAGATCATTACATTAGTCATTAGATGACCTACAGGCTACACGCTCTCTGTCGAGTCATGCAGAGGAGGTCGAGGTGTGACCTTCGACGAGAGCAGCGTCGGTAGAACACGAACCCCATTCAGCAGAGCCACACTGATTCTTCAAAGACGTCGAAATGCATGTAAAAGAATCGGCCTGCTCTGAACACATGGACACGGCCGGTGGAGACAAAAGCATCTGATCTGACACGATCATGTCAAACAACGCCACAAAAACATCAGGCCATTCCATTTTCTGCCCGTCTACCATCGGTGCACCACTGACTCAGCCGAGTCAGCGGCTGAGTCTCGCCACTCGTCTCACGTACTCCGCGCGCGGTCCGGTCACAATCACATGCACGTGATTTCACAGGGTGTTGCACTACTGTACAGGCAGCACATTTTGTCCCAAAGAAAAGGAGTTCGTCCGGTTGAAGTAAAGTAACATATAACACGTTAGTTTCGTCCTTGGATCACAAGAGTGTATTCGTATGGATCGTTAGATGCAGGATTTCCTTCAGCCTTCTGAAATCATGATTGTACCATGTGCATTCGCGGTTGTAATTTGAAGGCGTATCGATTATTTTTGGTTTGAAAGTTGTCCCTCCTGCGGAGCCCACACTGCATTTTAATTTTTAGCAGTGGCTGAGGCTGCTTGCCGACGTAGCCGTCGGAGACCATCCTGAACATCATGTACATGAGTCCTGCTAGTCCTGGAGTTTGTTTTTATGGCTATGGCAGTATGGGCTCGTAGATTTAGTCGTAGATCGACATCACACTCACCTGACTTGAGTCACATTCAGTCGCACAAAGTCATGACAGACTCCAGTGGCATGTATCATGTGTACAGACTCAGTGTAGTGTACTTTCCCCGAAAATAGAACCCCATACACGCCCGCCGGAAGGCGGGCGAAGTTGATCCGGTTTGAGGGGGTCCGGGGGATGTCCTGTCCCCAGGACATTTTGTAATTGTTGATAATTAATTTTGTTGATAATAATTCCCATCAGAAATTGCAGAATTTGGCCTTTTCACAAGTTTTCATAGCCAACTACAGTAGGTCTACAGGGAATAATTTCTGGATATCAATGTACATGTATGGCCCACGGGTGCATGTGCAGTCAACTAATTACTTCGCTGCGGATACAACGACAATTCGCGAATAGCGACAGAATTTCCCTGCCCAGATCAAAGTCCCATCTAACTGTAATACACTCATACCTCTCTTATCCGGGCGCTTCGGGACCGGACACTGCCCGTAACTTCGAGGGTGCCCGTAACTCCGAATCATATACATGTACATCTTGATGGGGAAAAGGCCATCGATATGGCATATGACGTCAATATTTCTACGAAAAGTGACAAAAGAGTAGTAATATTTCCCCTGAAACTCGCCCAAATAGTGCCCGGTAGACCGAAGTGCTCGTAACTTCGAAGTCCGGATAACCGAGGTATGAGTGTACGTAAATTATATCATGAGACTTCGGGTATAAGGACACTTATCTGATGCCCCGCCGAGTGCCGTTATCTGGTTATACGCAACGTTGACTGTACATACATGTACATACATGTACAGTATGGATGCATGATCGATAATACAAGTCATGTAGATCTACAATACATGTACCCAAAAAAAATTCTCCCCGGTTTTAGACGAATCTTAGGGGGTGACCTGAGCCAGAGTTGGTCCGGTAACAGCTGGACCAACCGGACCGATTCGGGCGGCCCTGCCATAAAAGCCACTTCCCGTATGTCACGTGATCGTCGCCTTGGAGTTGACCAATGACAGATCAAACAGCGCGGGCTGGAAAGCGCGGTCCTGCCTGCTCAAAGGTGATGGAACTGGATCCACTGCCCGTCGTCAAGTGACGACGGGCAGGAACGGATTCCACTGCCCGTCGTCAAGTGACGACGGGCAGGAACGGATTCTACTGCCCGTCGTCACTTGACGACGGGCAGGAACGGATTCCACTGCCCGTCGTCACTTGACGACGGGCAGTAGCCACTGGACTGACTCTCTACTTCATGGTCTTTCATTGGTTACTTGCCGCAGAGAGAGCGACTAAGTCTCAGTAAGTGGAAAACCAACAAGATCAAAAAAAAGAGTTGACTAATAAATAACTAAAGCCGCAGAAGAACGACTGTTTGCAACCACAACTGTCATCATGGCGCTCCAACGTTTGATCTGGAACTGGGAGAAAAGAAGCCCCTTTGTTGAACGATATTGGCGATGTGAATGAGCTCCTCCGAAAAGTTGAGGAAGAGACTGAAACTTGTATTGCCGAGTCGCTCGCGAAGGAGATCTTGGACGAGCCGGATGAGCCTCAACCAAAGCGCGCAATGCTCAGCAACCTGCAGGACCTACGCAATTTTTAAAATTATTTGCCGAGGTTTCCGATCAAGACGTGGGAAAAATCCGTAGGAACAGAACAGCCAGAATGCCCGATGCCCAGTCGACAATGCCAATGGCACCACGAGAAAAAAAGCACTATGGACTACTACAAAAAACTGTACCAGAAAACAATCACAAACCACAATGCAGGTACTACAAGGTGTGTCTGTCATGTAGGTATCTCTTTATTTGGCTTGGGTGCACACGGGAAACACGTTCCAGTCACTCATACTCGGCCAGTACCGCTGTTCATCCAGCCCTTGCCGCTATCGCGGCGCGGGCTGGATTCCGCGGTACTGCCCTCGTACTCGTGCAGGAACCTGTACCTCTCTCTCGGATAGGCCTCGACCAAATATGCTAAAAAAAAGAGCATATTATGCTCGTCGCATATCAGGGAAAACGTCCATAATATGCCAAAGGCTTAGCAAGATATGCAAAAAGATATGCCAAAATATGCTCGACATAAGCAGAAAGTGTAGATCATTTCAGTAAAAATACAACCTTGGAATATTCATTGGCTTCACGGCTATCATGCTTATGGTGCAAATCAAAACATATGCGGAATAGTATGGCTGGGGTGTGTCCCCAGCAACAGTAGCGATAGTGTTCATCCATGGGGAAATGTAGCAAACGCCTCAACCATTCCAAATTCATCCATAAAAGGCATTTCTGAACGCATATTGTCCATAATATAAATGTTTTAATGTCAATCAACACAACAGACATACGACGACCCCGAGGACGACCACGTCTGAGGTGGATCGACGTTGTCAAGAAAGACTTACAATGCATTAATCTGGCGCTTCGGGATGCTGTGCAATCTGCTTCTGATAGAGCTGCTTGGCTCGAAATTGTTAACAGATGCGTTGACCTCATGCAATGAGTGAAATGCGAACTGTCATTATTTATTATTATTATTATTAAATGTTTTGTCCTCATTTTCTTCAGAATATTTGAATTATATGCTGACTTCATTCCAATATTCCCTTTGTCGCTCAATATGCCATATATGAACTGTCTCAAAAAATATGCGGAAATATGCGCAAGCATATTTGGTCGAGGCCTACTCTCGGAAGATCTATCAGAGGAGTGTGACTGTGCGTGGTTTAACTCAGCGGCACTCAGTGATGGCCTAAAAATGCAGGTCAAAGAAGAGACCGCTTCCTACTCACTCCGGCACCGTTATCGTTGCTGCAAAATTAACTTCCCCGAGCACATACCCACCACCGGTGCACGCTAGTAGAGGACACCACAACACATGAGGAGTCTTGAAAATCAAGGGTGGTCAATGTTGTATTTCTTGGAATCAGCACTGTGAAAGTCATAATAATACAACTTGGATCCCCTGCTTTATATCCACTGCATTCAGAGGATTTAGCACAGGTTCCAGACCCCTTCATGGACCTTCCACCGGAACGTAGAACGTATATTGTTAGGGGAACGATATCATTGCTCATAAAAATATTGATATGATGCCTCGGGTTAATCAAGAGATTTGCGAATCCATCAACAGCAATAGTTACGATGCTCAAGTGTGTGCTAATTCACTCTACTTGCAAAGCACAGAATGCATGAATAGTACTATCTGGAGTTCTGTATTACGAATGGTCTAGCAGATCTAACAGTATAACTTGTTTAGAATGGTCTGGACTTCACCACCCAGTTACGCAGGAAACGTGGGGGGAAATTGGCATAATATTGTGGCCGTGAAAGCTGAATATAATTGGAAAAAAGGAAAAGAAGAATCTAATCCCGTAGCAGCAAGATTGATGGAATCCAGCAGATAGAGTATGGCTATCAATACACTGCGATTTAAAGTAAAATCCAACCGTACAGACGCGGCGGGCCAGGGCCCTAGCAGTGGGGTGTGCTGTGAGCGCCTGGCTCTGCTGTGTACGTAATGTTGGATTTCACTAGCAATCACCTTGCGATCTTCATCGGAAATAAAGACGTTAAACTGCCTGGCGGTGGACAAAAGTGGAGACGTCAGTGCTTTCGCTGCAAACTAATAATTCACTAAACAACATGGTTCAAATAGTATAAAAATAGGATGCTGTCAGCCTGCAAAACATGACATGACTCAACTTCTCTCAAGTTTACATGGTCGCGTCCCTCTCTCTCTCTCTCTCTCTCTCTCTCTCTCTCTCTCTCTCTCTCTCTCTCTCTCTCTCTCTCTCTCTCTCTCTCACACACACACACACACACACACACACACACACACACACACACACACACACACACACACACACACACACACTCACACACACACGCGCGCAAACAACCACCCACACACTATGTCAGCTGCAGCACCTCGATGTCTCGATGGAAGTGACCGCTGGAGTTGAAGCCACCGAAGCACCACACGTGCCTTGAGTCGGACACAAGGCGTGGCGAGAACTGTGCACACTGCAACGGCGGTAGCTCAAGCCAGCGGTGAGACGTGCGCTCCAGTAGATAGACACGTTGAACGGCAGTTTTACGATTATCTGGTTGCCCGCCGGCCACAACTAACTGGTTGTTGACGACCGCAGCGCCGCACCGACGGAATGGCAATGGCGGGATCTTGTCCGTCGTCCAGGATTGCTTGGCTGAAGACGATGACGACGCTATTGGCATCATCCCCAGACTGTGAACAAGGTGTTGATTGTCTTCAATGTAACCGTGACCCGCCACGGCGTGCAGACAGCCGGCAAAGTCGAGAACAGTCGCCGACTTACTGTATTGTCGTAGGCACGGTAATTGTAGCCACTCGTCACTGCCCGTGTCGTACAGCTCCGGAGTCAGTACCGGGTCATCACGACCGTACTGCACACCACAGCAACCACCCACCACCGCCAGCGTGCTGCCGCGGAAACCAACGCCAAACGCTGTGCGCAGCGCACGGAACCGCGTAACCGGCTGCCACGTACCGTCCGCAACCTGCCTGAAGACCGAGTGAGTATCGGTGCGTTCCAAATTTGTCGCAATCAGCCAAAGAGAGTTCTGTGCGCTCAGCAAATAGCAATGGTAATTCCACTTGGCACCGCACGGCACGGGCACGCGTTTCCACGAGCTCTCGAAGAGATCGTTTAGCGGCGCTCGCATCAACGTCAGCTCCTCGGATTCATCCATAGCTAGACCAGCGTACAAATAGCCATTGTGGGCGCATGGCTGATTGCATCTGTTCAGCGACGAGAAAGGAAGCTGGCCCACAACTTTCCACTGCGGCAACAAGAAACAAGGAAAAGCAAGATTTACAGCATAAGTGAAAAGAATATAAAATGAAAGTAGAAAGGAAAAGGACATAATGGAAACGAGTTAAGAGTAACTCTCCACCACTGTAACTAGATACTATATACAGTCAGAAAGTGCAACAACTAGGCACAAAAGTTACAGTGGTGGAGAGTTGCTCTTAACTTGTTTCCATATGTCCTTTTCCTTTCTACTTTTATTATTGGCTCAATACCCGAGTTTCAAATATAAAATGAATAAATTTTTAGGTGATTGACTATCATAAAGTCGGCACTGCAAACCACCATATCATATAAGGCATAATAAGGACAGGTGCTTAGGGCCGGGTTCCTCTGCAGCTCCGCTGCTCCGCGGCACTTGGCTGCATGCAGTGGAGCAGCGCGGTTCCACTGACACTCGCCATTCGTGGTACCGCGGTCGTGGTCCACACTTTTTTTATGACCTGACCTGACCCGCAGTTTTTGGTCAAGAATCGTAGCAAAAGCTCGCGGTGAGCCGCGGATTCGCTGCTCCAGCCGCGGTCACTATGGTAATGATGACGTTTTAAGCCGCGAAAGACGAGCAGCGGAGCCGCAGTGGAACCCGGCCCTTAGCAGCGCCGTTGGAGGTGGGGGGGGGGGGGGGTCAGGGAGGTGTACACCCGTGAAATGTTTGAAATTAGGGTGCAAAATCCTGTATTCTGAGCACTTTTGGCATTGTGTTAAAAGAAAGTGGTCCGGCCGGACTGGCTGCTACTTCTTTGTCTACTGTTAGCTGGCTAAGACCATGACTGAGAAACCAGAGTGCGCCAGACAGTGCCGCGACTCACAGCTAATTGGGGAACCTTGGCTGGCATGAGATTCACCCAGAGATGACCATCTGTGAGTGTGCGATAGCATATGAGTTTACCAGGGCAAGCTACATGTGCATGTATAGCATTCTGCGAAAGATCGTTATCAATATCGAGACAATTTTCCATCCCAGGTTTCCATTTCGGCTATGTTATCTCCCTGAAATCTTCTAAAACCCTGATGATGTAATATCATGTAATAAAAAGATCCAAAAACTCGCCGCGCCCAGGCTTGCTGCATGCACCAGCGCTGCATGCATGCGGCGGAAAAGCTGGTTGCATTTGTGATATTTTGAATTATTTCGTACGCCATCGTTTGGTTTTGTATGACATTGTAAGTTCTAGTGTAGTGTGTAGTGTTGTTGTCGTTTGTGACATCTCTTTGCCTTTCCACTGTCCTGTAGTAATGGGTAAACGAAAATCCTATGCTGAGTAGATCTATTTTCCGAAGAAACGAAAATCTAAGGGAAATCCTGCTGAGCCAAAACCTGCTACCGTGGAGAAATCGCACTCAACGAGTGACGAGTTTGATTTGGAAGAGCTCCCTGGTCCTGAGGACCCATCTTATCTCAAGTAGAATTGTGTCATTGCCTGCATTACAGCGCTTGATATCGAATTATTCTGTTTGTGCGAAATGTAGAAAAGGTAGCTTAGTTGTAAGTGAAGTGTCACGAGTCTGTATGGCCCCAAATATTCAGCTGTCCTGCGATGCCTGTACATATCAGACAGAGGAGGTGAGCATGCAAGAAGGTAGTACACAAGAAGAGTAGATTTTACGATGTAAACAGAAAAGCTGTGCTGGTTACGCGATTGATTGGCCGGGGACCTAGGGCCCTGCAGACAGTATGCTCGACTCTGGATATGCATTCTCCTATGTGTAAGAGTGTATCTGATGGACATAGCCATGCTCTGCATACGGCTGCAAAGGAGGTTGGCGTGAAGAGTATGAAAGACACAGCAGGAGCTGTACGCACGGGTAGAGCAGCCGACATTGCACCTGTTGATGTCGCAGTGTCCACAGACGGCACTTGGATGCGGTGTGGCCAATCTTCACTCTACGGTGTTCAGTCAGTTATTTCTTATGATACCAAACAAGTTTTAGATATCGATGCATTGTCTAAGCACTGTAGCCAATAGGATAGCTGGTGGATTAGACGTGATAGTGGTAGCATTACCAGTGAGCAGTACGACGAATGGAAGCAGAGTCATACCAGTGCATGCAGTATTAACACGACTGTCTCTCGTCACCAGCTATGGAATCAGAAGCTGTAGTTAAACGTTGGAAGAGATCAGAGGAATGCAACAAGCTGCGCTACGTGGTGTATATCGGAGATGGAGACAGCAAAGGTTACAAGTAGCGTGTAGACCGTATGGTGATGTGGCAATTGTTAACCCTCTCAGTGCCCCGGGCGACTTTAGTCGCCCAGAATGAGTATGTGAGTACAAATAAATTCATATCTCCACTTCTACACATAGGAGAGATACAAACGACCACTCTACGTGTTCAGGAAGGCCTTGGCTATCGACTCATCACATCATTTTGTGTCCGTGAGGATAGATATCGCCAGGGCGAAGCCTGAAGCGCGTGCGCTCGGACAAACAATTGTGGCGTGTAGAAAACATGACGTATGTATATATTTTTGAATGCGTTCCACTGCACTAATACAACTATTGTTACCACGCCACCTATCCACTACTATGACAAAATATGTATCTCCATCTCTTTATCTGCACGCCAGAGGGCTCATCACCTTTCTCTTCTGTTTGTCCACTCTCCCCAGTGTCCCCCCCCCCCCCTTGTCCACTCTCCTCAGTGTCCACTCTTCCCAGTGTGGCATGCGGTGTGTATAAGATCTTACCTTGGGCAAGGTGGTGACTTGCTCAATCTGCTGCCGTCCACGGCTTGCTCCCAGCAAGAAGAAAGCGGATGGCACAGTCCTCTGAGCGTCTGGATGCGAGTCTAGGTACTTGCTGGATAGTAACGTGTTGACTAGTTTATCCTGATGACGAGAGAATCAATACATAAATACCGACACATGCACGCCAACACTCACACAGACAGAGACAGGCAGGCAGACAGACACAGAGAGACATACAGGCAGACAGACAGACAGACACGAAAAAACAGACACAGTGTTGCGGTTACACTATGAATGATGGCCGATTAGGGGGGAGGAGGGGGGGGGGGGGGGGGGTTGCAGTACAACAGCACACATGCACGCAGTAGTACACAGCCATACCCCGAGACAAGCCAGTGAACACCATTAAAGTCATCTTCACACTTTGCTGGCATCCTAGGTTAGGGACATGCTTACTACTTGCTGCGATTTGTATCAGCTCTGCACTATTCGGATCGTATTTTCTGGAGTACTAGTATAAGCCGAAGTGTAAGCCGCACCCCCCCCCCCCCCCATTTTTTGCAACGAAATACAGACATCTACCCTATTTCTCACCTTTTAATTTGATCATTGGAGTATAAGCCGCATCCATCCTCCCTTTTTTGGGTGAATTCTGAGTGTTCAAAAGTGCGGCTTATACTCTGGAAAATACGGTACTTGAAAATATAGGGTTCGCATTTCAGTTCCAATCACTGTGTTCCGAACAACAACTACATGCCGATGAGCTTTTTGGTTAAAAAAAATACAGTCAGACCTCGCTTAACCGCACGCATCCATTTCCAAAAAAAAATACCGGATAGGCGAGGGAACCGGATAACCGAACACCGGTTATGTTGGATGCATCACGTATGCTGTAAATCTGTAACCAGCTATTTTCTTCCGGATGGCGAGGGATCCGGATAAAAGAGGACCGGATAAGCGAGGTCTGACTGTACTACTTCAGTAGTAATTATAGTTCAGTGTCAAACCATTTCCAAGATTCATCGTCGTTCCCTCTACCTTCCGATGCTATGGCTGGTGTACATTTTCCCTAGTGAAGCAGCGGTGGCGAAGGTCCTACACGGGAAGTTTAAAACAACAACCACGCACTCACAAGCAAGGAGAGTTCCAAGTTCTTTAACCTGACCGGTTTCTGTGACACGAGTCACTTCATCAGAGGAAGGTTAAAGAACTTGGAACTCTCCTTGCTTGTGAGTGCGTGGTTGTTGTTTTAAACTTCCCGTGTAGGACCTTCGCCGCTGCTTCACTGGATTTTTGTATGCTACGTACACTTACACAACTGTAAGTGTGTTTGCGCACGGAAATAGAAATCCGGCATGTACCACAAAGTACTGTTGATCTCTCCCCCCTCCCCCATGCTGTTTGGCTTCGTCCCGGCTGGGTTTTTTCAGCAGGGGTCAGAAATTACATCAAGTCTGTCAAGTGCGATACTATGTACAGGTGAGCAAAAGATCAGAGCTGCCGTTCTCAATTGCGCACATTTTTCATCGACATGCATACCTGCACTGACATGTATTGCATACGCCAGTACATATGTCGGTTCAACAATGCATTTTGACGTGTACTCTGAAGTCGCTTCACAAGTAGAAATTCGACGCAGGGGGGAGGGGGGGGGGGATTATACAGGGGGCGGATCAACGGTAATCAGTGATGTGCATGGGTAGTCGGGTACCCGTGAGGACCTCAGGTAGGCGGGTACAGAATAGTACCCGAAAACCCGAAGTCGCAGATGACATCATATACAGCGCACGTGTAAAATGTCATGTACTACTCCGCATGTCTACCCAGTGTGTAAGGGAAGGGGTGCATTTTGGTGTTACCATGGTAACATTACCCGATCGGGTACCCATGCTACCCATGGAAACCTACCCGAACCTGATACCCGAGGAAATGATACCCGACTCAGCCCTAAAGGTAATGCTGTAGTTTTCAATTTCCTCTGATAAACAAGGCTCTATTAGTACAGGGACGGTACAGGCAGCAGCTTGCTCCACTTGTACCCACAGTAGTAGCTACACTATGCCATAGATTTTGCCTTCCTACAATTACAGTAAAACCTGGTGTAAGCGACCTCTGGGTTAAGCGACCACCTGCTCTTAACGACCGTTTTTCCATGCACCGACAGTTCTACACAGACACTGTGGGACCTGGTTCTAAAGACCACCTGGCTTTAACGACCGCTTTTGCTTGCACCGTGGGGTGGTCGCTCAAACCAGGTTTCACTGTACCGTATCTTACAGATTATAGGCCACACTTTAAACACCAAAGCGGAAGGATTTTTTCCAGCCGTGCTGCGACCCACAGTTAATTGGGAACTCGTGGCCTGGCATGAGGAAAACATGGATGCAGTGAATGGGATTTTCGGTCTTTGACCACTTGCTGGTGAGCTGATCTACTCACCTCCCAGCGCTTTAGGAGCTGCATCTGCGCCTTGATCCTTGAAGGGTGGTGGCGTTCCTACGGATGCGGAAAGCCCGGCTTCCAGCCGAGTCTCACGCGAACCGTGAAATTTTTTTTAAAACTTTTAAACACCAGTAATTCATCAAAACAAAACGTCAGTGCGGCTTATACTACGATGATCAAATTAACGGTGTGGATAAACAGGGTGGACGGTGATAAACAGGGTGGACGGTGATAAACAGGGTGGACGGTGATAAACAGGGTGGACGGTGATAAACAGGGTGGACGTCTGCATTTCGTGACAAAATATCTGTGTGCGGCTTGTACTCTGGAAAACAAAGTGAGTGTGGTTGGAGTAGAAGCAACAAGAAAAAAACCCGTCGTCCCTCTTTAAAATGCAGCACTTTATAAACCAGCAGCATTTGTACACCAGCACCCAATGTAAACCAGCATAATTTTCAGTTACTGTAAAACCGGAAAGTCTAACGACCAAAAAGTTTAATGTTTTTGTAGTTTTGGCATGATCACGTGCAGAAAGTTTACCGATGGCTGCCTGGCCACCCATCTGTATGCGCATCTCCACACAGACATCTAGCGATAACGTGTTTTTTCAAATAACGAAAAATAATTGGTCGTGAAAACGTTAAGACTTTGTGACTCGTTAGACTTTCCGGTTTTACAGTACCAGAATGTCCTTTTCATGCACATTGCAGCAGTAAATCAGATTTTCTAATCCAGCACCCTCCCTAATCCAGCACCCTCCCTAATCTAGCACCCTCCCTAATCCAGCACCCTCCCTAATCCAGCACCCTCCCTAATCCAGCACCCTCCCTAATCCAGCACCCTCCCTAATCCAGCACCCTCCCTAATCCAGCATACCGTATTTCCACAAATAGTAGGCCGGTCTACTATTTTTTCAACCTCGTCCTAACCCGGCCTTATAATCGAGGACGGTCTTGTATTCGAGGACGGTCTTTTATTCTTTCAACCCAGTTTGACCCCGGTCTTCTATTTCTCGCCACACAGTTTTACGCCCGTTCTTCCATTTTCTTCTACACAGTTTGAACACGGTCTTCTATTTTTTCCCACAGTTTGAGCACGGTCTTCTATTTTTAACACAAGAACATTAAAGGGGAAGTTAAGGCAAAAATTAAAATTTCACCTGTTGTAGTCTTCGGGGTGCTGAGTCGAATGGTCTTGGTCCGAGAAAGCTGAGACGCTCCCTTCCTACTTGAATCCCAATCGAACTCGCGCACTTCCACCGAAACTGGGTGACTGCGCCCTACGAGATGGGGATTTGTATGCAAAATGTCACTAAAAGCGCCGTTTCGTTCTTATAAAACCACGGATGACCGCGATTGGCCCATATGTTGTAGTCTTTTGGACGCTGAGTCGATTGGTTTTGGTCCGAAAAGGCTGCGATGCAGCGTTCCTCATTTATTCCCAATCGAACATGGTTGAACAAGCGGTCACGTGCTCCTGCGTACACCAGTCACCTGGTCACCGTGCCTGCAGGGTACAACTTACTAGCCTGTTTGACCTTTTTTGGGTGCACTCCTGTCACTCGAGTTGAACTCGAGTTGAACCTTGGTGTGAAAGTTGTCGCCTGCTGGCGTGGTGACCAGGTGATTTGGGCACCCAGGAGCACGTGATCACTTGTTCAACCATGTTCGATTGGGAATAAAGGAGGAACGCTGCATCGCAGCCTTTTCGGACCAAAACCAGTCGACTCAGCGTCCAAAAGACTACAACATATGGGCCAATCGCGATCATCAGTGCTTTTATAAGAACGAAACGGCGCTTTTAGTGACATTTTGCATACAAATCCCCATCTAGTAGGGCGCAGTCACCCAGTTTCGGTGGAAGTGCGCGAGTTCGATTGGGATTCAAGTAGGAAGGGAGCGTCTCAGCTTTCTCGGACCAAGACCATTCGACTCAGCACCCCGAAGACTACAACTGGTGAAATTTTAATTTTTGCCTTAACTTCCCCTTTAACAAAGACTCGTTTAGTAGGCCCGGTCTTCTAATCGGAGACGGTCTTTTATTTTTTCAATCGCCCCCTGCCCCGGCCTTATATACGAGGAAGGCGTTGTAAACGAGGACGGCCTTTTATTTGCGGAAATACGGTAATTTCCGTAGCACAAATGACACCGGTCTATAAAGGGACCTATGTAACTCACCATCACAACATAATCTTGAGCGTCCTGCGACTGTGTCACCGTGCGCTGCACCTCTTCCAGCTTTGCCCGAACGTCCCGCATGTCCTTGCTCAGGGCGACCACCTGTTGACGCGACTCGTCACGTGAACGCACCGCCTCGCTGGCCTGCTGCTGTGCATCCTGCACCTTGCGATCGGCCATTCTTCTGGCTAGCCGCACCTTTTCCTCCATTTCCTGTGCTGTGACGGACGGGCCCGGCGAGATACTCCTCTGAAGGGCGCTGTAGTTTCTCTGACTCGAAGAAAGCTGCCGCCGAAGCTCTTCGGCTTCGACAGTCAGCATTTTTACTTTCGCTCGCAGTTCAAAGACGTATGGCTCTTGAACCGACCGGTCGTGACCAGATGTCGTGATTTTGTACCCGCTGCCGCCTGGTGTTAAACTCAGTGATTTGGTATGTACGTTTACAGGAAACTCGGTATTGTCGCCGTCTCTGCCGTGGCTATCGTTGCTAGGCCACGAGGCATATCCCGCTGGTATTTTCACCATCTCGTCGCAATATCGCCTTGCTTCTTCTCGAGCTCTGGAGCTTGTCTCCCGCTCTTCGTCAATTTGCAGTTCTAAGTCGTGCTGTTTGGCAGCGTGTTCCGCACGCTCGATTTCAAGGTCAGTGCAGCGTGCTTCGTAGCGCTCAGACAGTGCAGATATGTCCGAAGTGAGCCGCTCAATGTGCGCTTGTTTAACTGATTCCGTAGAGTCCCGTGAAGATCCGGTGGTCGAATTTGACGCGATCGAGTCTAGGCTGTGCATTGGATTGAAGTCACGCTTCGCTTTCATCACCATCTGTACAACATACTTTGCCCGTGGCCGCAGCGTACTACTCTCTTGAAGGCACTGGTAGATGAGCGGTGACAGCGGGTGTCCATCGTTGGCACTGAGCTCATCGAGGTCACCATGACGACCCTGCCTCACCAAGGTAACCACGCCCGGCGGTTCCCTAGCAACGCACATGGCCAGCATGGCTACGCCCAGTGAGAATACGTCCGAACCGTAGCCGTATACGGCGTGCGTTGTTCCATGACCGTTTCCGCCTCTTGCCGCCGACCGGCCATCATCACCGAACGTCTCCGGTGCCATGTAAGTCATATTTCCCGGTGATGCAGTCATACCTGCTACCATTGCGCCGTCCTCGAGTTGACGCGACAGGCCCACGTCCGTGATCTTTGCATGCGTCGTCTGCACGTCCTTCATCATGATGTTGTTCGTGGTGAGGTCGCGGTGTAGTATCCGCAGGGAGTGTAGGTAGGAGAGACCGCTTGCCACACCGTGAGCAATGCTTAGGTGTTCCGCTTTCGTCAGGCGCGGATAGGAGCTGTACCGCTGGCGTAGCGTACACGCCATCATCTCCATCACAATGCCTGGTACGCCACCCTGTTTGGGACGCGACACGCCAATAAACTGGATGATGTGCGGATGGCACAGCGAGCTCAGCTTCATCATTTCTGCTTTGAACTTGTCCACGGATTTGCTGGATCGCATCTGGAGCGCGGAGGAGTGAATGTGTTTGACGGCCACTGGCGCTCCGTGCCATTCCGCCCGGAGCACAACACCATAACTGCCCGAGCCTAGGTTATCGTTCGCACCGTCGCCGTCCAAATCCAGGAGGCCATCATCCGCCACAGCTCTCATTGAATCTCCAGCACTGCTGCCGCTGCTGCTGCCACCACCGCTGGTTCGTTGCTCTGTATGATGTGAGTGCGCCGCACGTCGACGCTCCCGCAGCTCTCGCACCGCTAGCGTGCTGCCAGCATCAGTCCTCCCTGTGATCGTCGACATCGCCAACTCTCTTCCAGTCTGCCTCACTCACAACACCTTCAAGCCATAATCACAACAATGACTGAGATACGACGGAGGAATCACTTTTTTTACCGATGACTATGTTGCGTGCTTCGCACAATGACATGCTTAGATCATCGGTGGCGTTCTAGAAACGTACCAACGGCGTTCGGCCGCACGAGCTCTCGCAAGCTTGCCGACTCTCGTGGCTTCTATTCCACCAACACGGCAAGTCGCACCTGAAGCCAGGTCACTACAAGAACTAACTATTACTTCTCTGCTGCCAGGCAGTAGGCAGCCTCTACTAATGACTTGGTTTTGGACTCGACACTCACACAATCAAATCTGGGCCCTCTGCCAGGCTCTCTGGCCCAGTCTGGGGGAGAAACTAGTAGTGGCGCACCGTCTAATGTCTGATGATGTTGATCTACCGCGGTACCGGTAGACCTACGTAGATCTACTGTAGACTTACACTGTACTACAGTAGATCTACGTGTACGTGTACTATAGTACTACTACTGACATGAGTAGACCCAGGTACTCGAAGTCCGTACACTTTTACAGTGTGTGTTTGTCGAGCTGAAACTCACACTAGCAATGATCACTTGCCAGAATCCTGCTCGTGGATGGAAGGTATCTTGTCCAAGTTTGTTCTGAGGCCAGGCTCGATTGAACCAGGCCATCTTTCGATCCGATCTGTTTCTCTGGAGTTCGCTGATTTTTCATATCAAATTTTTGTGTCGCAGAGGGTACTCTAAGTCCGTACTGATCAGAGGTGACTCGAAATACACACATATTTCTGCTAATTGCTAACTTTCAATCCCTCGGTTACGACGAAAGCACCGAAGGGATATGTTTGGCATGTGCCTCCACCAGTATTTCTTGCAAAAGCGTAGTTTGTTGCCGAACTGCAAGCTGTTTTAGTCGGTTTAGAGAAGAAGCAGCTGCGCTGTGAAAACCGCGGGAAAACAGTGGTGGAGATGCCAGGAGTGTCAACCTTTCTGCAAGAATTGGTGGTTCTCTGTAAATTCTTCTCCTCTGGCCATTGTCAGCTCTAAGCTGGCTCTTGATGATTGAGTGAAGGTCTGTTTGACGCTGTGTCCGTTCGAAATCGGTCTTGGCAAAGTTGATTTTTGCATGAAATGTAACCCAATTTGTATTTCGTATGGGCACTCGAAAACCCACTCGCGTGGTATGGGACTTCTGCTTATCGTAGATCCCTGAAAATTGCTACGCGAGGAGAACATACCACACTGTCCCCTCGATAAAATATTTGAGTCGAATACAATGACAGAACATGAAATTATGGGCGTACGAACTTAGGATACCATGTACGGACTTCGAGCACCTGGGTCTACTGTGACTACTGTTCATCTGTTGTTTTTAGTGTTGTAAATGGTAGTGGTAGTAAAAATGGTAGTCATGGTAGTACTGTATACTTATACGACTGAGAATGAGAATGATGCGTCTCGTTTTTGTAGTGAGATGAAGGCTCTTTTCTCTGTACTGACTTAGTAACTAGTAGTAGGGCTGAAACGATTATACCGAATAATCGAGTACTCGTTTGATAACTCTAACGATCGAGCAATCGTTTAGATTACCGATTACGATTATTTTGCGTTTTTTAAATTTTTAATTTCTTACGCACTGCACGCGCGACTCGCCTTGTTACATGCTGTCAAAATCGAAAAACAGTCCTATCCTAGTGACGTAGTGTAGTACAACGAAGCTGGAGCATGAAGCTCGAAGGTCAAGGTCGCGTCCGGTCTGCATACATAACACTTTTTTTGTGCAAAGTTTTGTACATTTTTCCACTTTTGGCCATTCTACGTACATATTCCAGGTGCGGCCTCTTAAAGATTATAATCGAATAATCGATCGACGTTATGATAAAGAGTAATCGATTGGGCTAAATGGATGATCGTTTCAGCCCTAGTAACTACATGTAGGTACTTGGGCTGTAAATCATACATAACTAAAGTCTAAAAACGTTACTACTGTAGACTGTACATGTAGTCTGTGCACATGTCTAGTTTTATTTTTTTATATTAATTTTTTTTCTGGAGCCAAAACAAGCAAAGCTGAAACAAAGAAAAATGATGGTGCCAATGTACAGGGGATGGCCCACGCCTGGTATAAACTATAAAGTAAACGTAAAAGAGAAAAAAGTAG